AAAAATTGCACAAATTTAACAATAAAAAGAAATTCAATGTAACATAATATTTATAAATAGTAAAATTATAATTAAATTCAGATACTTAACAAACTCTACATATATATATAAGGCCAGTCAACGCAGGAGTAATTTTGGCGAATAGTGGAAAAAATTCCCAACCAAATTTTTTTTTTTAAAAAGTTAAATTAAGATATGTATAATGACATACTAAAAGTCCTCATTGATTGGAATTGAGCTTTTTTTTTATAGCCTCGCAAAAGATAAAAAATATGAGCTTTTTTAATTTTCTCAAAAAATATTTAACATCCAAAAAAAAGTTTCGTACAAAAGTTGTTTAAAAGACAATTCTAAACAAAAAAGTATCTTATATTTTTTCATTGAAACAAATATTTTTCGAGTTATATTACATTTAATATGAGTAGTAAAATTTATTTTCCATTTTTTTCATTTTACGGTTACTTTTTATCATGCTATACTTACATTAGACACAATGTTATAAATGCATATGTGTATATCTGTGAGTTTATTTAATTATAGTATCATTAAAGTGTAGTGTATATTAAGATACAACCGATAGAATAGGTAATTGATTTGACGCTATATTGTTTAAACCCAATTAAACGCTAAATTGTACATTCCGATTCTTCTTCTCTCCTCATAACATGACTAAACCATCTAAGTCTATATTCTCTCATCTTATCCACGATTGACGCTACACTTATACTTCCTCTTATATGCTCGTAAAACGGCCTTTAGTCAGGTGCTGGAGCTGGTAAAATTTGTGGCTGCCGAAAAACAGGGCTTAAATGTTCTATTATATGTGAACATTGCAAAGGTCAATGGCGTACAAATTCAATAGAAATAAATATTGAAGACTAAGAAGATTGTACTTTTGTTGAAAATATATTCTATCAAAATTTAGAATGGAAAAATGAATAAGAAAATGGAAAAAAATTCTGTTTCATACATTTGTCAAATAACTTTATAGAGGAGAAATCCTCCATCGATTACATACTTTGCACTAGTAATGCATATAATTTGTATTTAGGATATAAATAAGGAAATAGTAGATCATGTAGCTTTTGTAATGATACATAAAAATTTTAAAATTAAACACTATCTACAGATTTGCATCAAATCTGATCAAAATTTTATAATAGTTATAATATAATAAATGTAAATGTTGATACTCGAATTTTTTTTTGGAAATTACGATTCAATCATATGTTAAACAGTAGGCTTATGAAATATTAAATAACTTTAATTTTAGAGTAATTTTAATAGTATAAATGAGTTAAGCAGTTCAAACAATAACAATTGTTTACGTAGCAATTACTAATACTACACATTAATATTTATTTATGTGTAGACAATTAAAAATTAGTAAACTTAGAATAAAAATTGTGGATAGTTGCACCTTCTCAACTACCTAGTTAATTATTACATTTACACGGTTTTTGAGCAGTAAAATATTTAAATACTACTTAATTATAAATAACCTTAATTATAAGTAATTGAGTTAATAAAATCAATCTTTTTCAATAAATATTTACCCTTAGAAATTCTATAGAAAAAAGTTTTTAAGAGAAAAATAATACAAAAATTGGAAGATTTCTATTTTCGTGTTATTATTATAATATCACACTATAAGTTTTATATTAGAAATTCAAAAAATATAACGACTTTTAAAGGAATTTTTTTTTTAAATTTAAAAAAATACAACTAAGAAAGTTTTGAAAAAGAAAATATTTAATAATAATATTATTAAGCATTACTAATAGTTCAATATTAATTTCTTTTTATTATTTGAAATTAAAAATTATAGAAATACTTACGTTGTAGGTTCATCAAGAAATATAATCGACGGATTGGTAATAAGTTCCAATGCGATAGAGAGTCTTTTTTTCTGGCCACCAGAAAGCCTTTTTGTGATAGTGTCTCCATGAACTGATAGACCCAACGCATCAAGCAAGTCCTCAACTTGTCTGATTTTGGACAGTGTTGATCTTTCTGGCGGTAGTTTGAGGTGTGAAGCCACAATCATTGATTCTCTGACAGTCAATAAATCACGAACATAGTCATCTTGCTGTATGTAACAACTAATTTTTGACATACATTTATGATCTCTTGATATATTATTTAAGTACACTGAACCACCACTACCCGTTACTCTGTAATCAATTATAAAATATTTTATTCATTTTGATAATTTGACATTTGTTACTAATATTTTTACAAGATAATAAATAACTTAAGATATTTAAAACGAAATTAATACCTATTAAAATACAGTAGAATGTACCATCACTTTTGGCTGATATTGGTTATAACTATAGAATGGACATTTGATTATAAAGATCTTTAAAATATTACACTTATATAGATTAAAAAAATATCAAAATATGCTCATATTTCCCTAAAACCCTAATATATAACAGAGAAGTAATAAAATTTTTATTTATAAAAGTATTATTAGCTCTTTCTGAAAGTCAGGCTTTTAACAGTTCCAGTTTTATTCTAAAATTTTCTTGAACAAATTTAAGAAAATGAAATCAATTTTTTCAACTCAAAGTTAATCTCTGCTAAAACATTTAGTATAATTTACGTTTATGGTGCAAAACAAACTTAATAATTATCATTTAAAGTTGAAAAATGGTAATTTCGTTAATTGCTTAACTGAAATTATACAATTAGTGTTATTATATCATAAGTAATCTAGATTCATTAGATATTAAAATATCTTAAATAATACTATCCAACTGATAGTTTAAAAAATAAATTAATCTAAATAAAAAATATAGCACATCACTGAAAAAAATTTATATATATGTATACAAACAAAAGAAAATTTGATTAAATAAAAAAAGTTGGGTTCTCATTGGCCAATTTAATCATACAGAGAAGCGAACGATTAGTCGTATGACTGGTGGAAAAAAAAGGAAGAGAAAATGGATATAATAGATCAATATCCATATATTATACAATTTACAAATATAATAGATTTTAATAAAAAAATTAATATTTATAAAAAATATGAATGGATCATATAAAAAACAGTATTAAGATACACCATTTTTAATAAACAAGATTATGGTACATTTAAATTCCCTGAATTAAATACGTTTTTTTTTTAAATAGCATAATCACTAAACTTTTCTTACATCAATGGAAAAAAGTAAGAAGACATTTTTATATTTACGTTTTTTTCAAATAAGTAAAATAATTGTTTTATAAAAAATAATATAAATATTAATATAATTTTAAAAGTTAATACTCGAGCTATCATGCTCATTTTTAACTATAACTAGTTATGAAAAATAACTTTTATAAAAATCGTACTGTAGTCGTTATTTTTCTATAAAATCGTTTTAACAGTTACAGAAATATGTGATATTTTATAGCTTTGTTTCACTTTAGGTCAACCGTGAAGTTTTCACTTATTTTCTAAAAATTTAATAATTACGATGTCTGTCAAATAACCCACTCATAGAAATTGAACAATAATAATATTTCATTATTTACCACTTGTTATTAAAAATTAAAATACAGTAAAAATTTTGTTGAAAACATTTACTTACGAATATCCAGCAAGAACATTGAGAAGTGTACTTTTACCACCACCCGATGGTCCCATGATTGCCGTAAGTTCACCTGATCGAAAGTTGCCATTGATTCCATGCAAAATATCTTTCTTAACTGCGAACAAAAATACATAAAAATTGAAACAAAAGATAGTAGTCAGAAAGAACTGGTAGTTCAGTTGGATCACGGCATATCTGAGACAAATAAAAATGTTATCACTGTCAGACAATCACTATCAAAAGAAACACTTCTATGAAAATCTATAGATAGTGTTTAATTTTAAGAAATTTTTAGATTATTCCAAAAGCAAAAATAACTCATATTTATTGTTCTACTTCGATTGCCATTTTCACACAGAAAATGGTTCGTTGGTAAATTTTAGCTTCCATGCGAAGCTGAGAAACTATTTTTTTTTTTTAACTTCTGGTACATAATATAAGCTTTATTTTAACATATATTTAAAAGACGCAGATTTACCAGACATTTTCCAAAAAAGCTAAGTTCTACTTTTTATACAAATTTTCAAGTTTTCAATAATTCAAGCTTTTCTTAATTTTGAAGAGGCAAAATAATCAAAGTATAAATTTTACTTGATGTAAGTTAGATTCATGTAAATTTTATATTTATTGGCAGACTCAATACTATGGCAAACCTTTATAAGGCATTTTAAAATAAACAAAAAATATAAAATTTGAACACAAAAATAGCATGTTTTTCAACTATGGCAGCCGTTTGCACATAGAAAATAAGTCGTGGGGACATATTTTTTTTGAATAATTTATGGTATACAACATAAGTTTTAATTTGACATATGTTTTAAGAACACAGTATTTCGGAAACATTTTTAAAATTTAAGTTGAAAAAGTTGATTTTTGTAAAAAAGTTGCTATTTTGAATCCCCTCTTGTGGGCAGGTAAAGGGTCAGATTCTCAAAAATATTATATCAAATAAAAGGAAATTACTGAAGGTTTTAGTATAAAAAAATTATTTTGATTTGTTCATTTTTCAATAAGTTATGGCATTTTAAGAAAATAAAATTGAAAAAAATTTCAAAATTTACTGATTTTAAAAATCTTAATTTTTTGGGGATTTTCACCATTTACGGGACCTAGGGGAAAATGTTCAATTTTTGAGGGTAATGTCTTCAACTAGATACGATTTGTGATCTTTTGATGTATTGTTGAGAAAAATCGGTCCAATGATAGCTGAGAAAAAGTGGTAACAGACACAAAAAAAAAAACACATAATGGTAAAATTAATACCTTCTTAACTTCGCATCGAAGTTAAAAGTCATGTATCGATGACTATAGAGGTAAAAGAGATTATAAACTAGGTGTTTGTCAATTTTTTATTATAGCTAAAATTTCACGTGTAATACATTAAATAGATATTAAAAAAAATCTTTCTAATTAAATTTTNTATAGCGAAAATTCCACGTGTAATACATTAAATAGATATTAAAAAAAATCTTTCTAATTAAATTTTATTTTTTAGGTAAAACTTGATTCATATATTATTCAGACAAGATAATTGTAATAATGCACTAAAATAAGTTGATTATTTAAAGTGAAGCTTACATTTAATAAATTAATAGTATTCTTGACTGTGGTGTAAAATTCCATGAGCATCAAAGATTACAATGTAAGGTTAGTTTTAAAAAGTAATAAAGAAAATTAAATACTTAAAAGATTTGAATTGTTGGATAACTAATTAAAAATGAGTGTTTTAATTATCGTGCTAATTATAAAAATATTTAAGAAGTTTAATTATATACAGCAAGAATATTGATGGAAACAAAACTTATCAAAGTAAGGTAGCTTAATAGGTCAATTATAGACCATGGCATTTATGTGTTCACTGTTCAAGGGCAATAACAAAATAATCCAATAAACTTTTTAAAAATTGTTTCTCAGACAGTCGAGAACAATAACATAGTTTAATCTGCAAAATTAATGTAAGTAATTTTTATCTGTCATATTTATAAATATATATATACGTATTATTTTTATTCTCTAGACATAACTGTTGAATTTATTACTTTTAGGAACCTTAAACTTTACATTTACCCATCGAAAAAGTAACCCACTACCCGAATGGTATTTTATGGCTTCCACAATCACCGAATTGCAAATATATTATAATATGCCACTTTATACAAGTTTATATTTGTAGCATATAATATACTCTTAAGAAATAATTATACATTAAGCCCTCAATTTTTAATGCCAACTCTGACTTGTAGTTTCAACTACGAATATCGTTAATATGCCATCAAATAAATTTACGTTTAATTAGAGCGTTTTAACATTAAAATGAACTAGATTTTTAAATATTTGTATTGATTCTGTCAAATTTATCTTAGATTTTTCTCAGATATGATTTAATTTCAAGAATAATTTCATGTTACGTAAAAACATATCGAGTTGAATTTGCCAAATTTTAATAAAAGAATAATCTATAACACTGCACACGCTGGAATATATCTCATGAATACATATAGATATGAACTTTGCAGGTTTTTCGTTAAGAACTGGGACAAATAGATAAAAGGTTATTGACTTGTCTTGTACAGTTTTTAGTAAAATCCCGAATAGATCAAATTACATGTAATCAAATAATAACACAGTATGTTAAATCAAAGGCAATTCCCGTACATAATAATGTCATACATTTTTTTGTATACAATGTTTGCGAAGATATCAAACGTATTTTATACTTTGTTCGGTCAACTCTTATCAAGTACTTAAGTAATATAAAAATTTGTCATTGGAAATTATGGAAAGTCCCAACGGAAATTTGTTAAAATATTTGTGAAAAATAATCTGAGTTCTAAGACCAAATTTAAAATGCCGGTAAAGAGGAATTTATTGAAAATTAAAATAACAGGATTACAAAATAAGTGAAGGAAATATAATTCAACTGTGAAAATAATGTAGAATAATGAAAGTTGAACTTAAAAATTTTAATTATTATAATCTCAATTAATTTTAAATATATTAAATGTCGATGAAACAATTCAAGGCCAATTAAAAAATCGTAGACAATATCAAAAATAAAAATAATAACAACAATTCAATACTTGCAACAAAGCGCAAATTTAATACATTTATTATTATAGAACTATACACATTAAAACTAACACTAAAAATTCAACCATATAATTCCTACCTCCTATTAATTAAAAATAATTAGTTTAAACAATATAAATATATTCATTAGTTAATAAATATTAAATATTAACTGAAAACTTAGGTTCGAAAATGTATTTAAAGTTATTTAGACATTCCCATACCTTACATAATATAATATAAATATATATATATAATATATGAGTTATTGGTACAGAATATGTTGTACTGTAATAAAATAGAAGTTTTCATTAAATTTTTACCTTAAAAGTGTTATTGTAAAGTATAACAGCAAATTTAATATAGAACCTATTATAATATTTACAACTTATTTGGTATTTTAAACACTCGTAAACGATTGCAAGATAAAACAAATGTTGCCATTCCATCGTATTAAATATTTTTTTATTATTATTTAATATTAAAAATTAACGACATGAAGAGTTAAAATTCCTATTTATATTATTTCACAATGAAAACTTTTTAGTGTGTTAAATTAATAATTTAACTATAAACTCGATCGTTTAAAATTATAGTGGTGTTACTAATGTGATAAAATCCAAGAAAAAAATAGAACATAAAACGAATGGTTTAAGTGAGAAAAACTAGGAAGGGGATTATAGTTTCTAAAAATTAAGGAGCGTTTTCAAGCCACTACGAATTACCTCTCATAAAAAGCTAAAAATGATATTAATTGTAATAAGCAAATATACTTACTTAGTAAAAAAAAAATTATCTCAAAATAAGGAATAAATTAGTACCTAGCCATAATTTTTGTTATTTCGTTCAAAATAAATTAGGAATGAATATTTTACATAAAATCACAAAGTCAGTATAAAAATTTTAATTAATTATAAAAATTAATGCAAAACAACAGTTTTTTTAAATATTTAATATTATACTTTAACAGAAAATTGAGAAAAAAATATTAACAATAAACAATTTAAGTTGGTATACACATATAAAAATATGAAATGACTTATATAATAATTTAATTCTTAAAGTATTCAATAAACTGAAAGTATATCAACAACCGTAGGTTCTATTAATATAACAAATATTTATTTCTATCATTTTATAACCATTGATACAATAAGTCATTTAGTTTCATGTGTAGTCATAAACTAATTACAAAGTTTTTTAAGCTCACGTTAAAGAATTAATTAATTAAAACTTCCAAATAATTCAAAAACAAACTAATAACAATAATTACGTCACAAACGACCGTGCTCCAAGTACTTAAATTACCACGGTCGGATCATAAAATTCTTATAATTTTATAATTTAAGTTCTTCTAAAATTATTTTTTAACTTTGATGCGAAGTTGAGAAGGTATTAATTTTACCATGATGTGTTTTTTTTTGTTTCTGTCACTACTTTTTCTCAACTCTCACTGGACCGATTTTTCTCAACAATACGTCAAAAGATCACAAATCGTATCTAGTCGAAGACATTACCCTCAAAAATTGAAAATTTTGACCTCTATCCCCGTAAATAGTAAAAAAAATTACGATTTATAAAATCGGTAAATTTCGACATTTTTTAAACTTTTCTTCCAAAAATTGCCATAACTTATTGAAAAAAGAACGAATCAAAATAATTCTTTTTTATATTGAAACTATAGATAGTTCTCTTTCATTGGATATAAATTTTTTGAAAATATGACCACAGATGTGAATTCAAAATAGCAACTTCTGAACAAAAATTTTTATTTTTCAACATAAGTTTTAAAAATGTTCCGGAAATACTCCATGATTCAAACATATGCTAAAATAAAGCTAATGATATGTACTATAAGTACAAAAAAAATTTTTTGTTCCGACGATTTATCTTCTATGTAGAAATGGTTGCCGCAGATAAAAAACATGCAATTTTGAAATTAAAATTTACGATTTTTATTTTTTCAACTTTTAATTACAATATATTTTTGAAAAATGTATGGATCAATACAATTATTTTTTCATAAATATTTTATGTTTACTTCTT